GTATGTGCCCAGTTCCAAGAAGGAAGCGAGGATTGTTCAAATAGAACTTTCCTACAAAACTACAAACAATTGGCCTCCAAAGATACTTGGAAACTACAGAAGACTGGATGATGGTATGTGTCAAAGAACATGAAAGTAGTAAGAGTCTTTACTCCGTAATAAAGGAAGCCAACAAATTCAAAATGGAGTTTCAAATGGGCGCAGAAATACAAGTAAAGCACAGTACACTGACTAAAGCTGCAAAATACTTACAAAAGAAAGCAAAGACAAATGCAACCGACCAGAAACAGAAACAATGGCAAGATAAACCGCTTCATGGCCAATACTCTGCCCGTAGCAAACAAGCTGACGTAGACAAAACCCGTACCCATCAGTGGCTACGTAGTGCAGGGTTGAAAGCTGAAACTGAAGGTTTTATACTTGCTGCGCAGGACCAATGCTTGCTAACTAGGAATTATCAAGCACATATACTAAAATATTGTGTTAGCCAAAAATAAACAATCAAAGCCAACCGCCCAGATATTGTTATCAAAGACCACAAACAAAAAAAACTGCCTCCTTATTGATATGGCAGTCCCTGCAGACTGCAATGTATCTTTGGATATTCGAAAAGCTGTCAAAATACAAGGACCTTGAAATAGAAATCCCAAAAATGTGGCACATGGGAACATCAACAATCCCTGTTTTAATTAGAGCCCTCGGATTGGTTGGAAAAAAAATTCCAGTAGGCTAGTTGAAGGGATTCCTGGAAGTCCATGCCTCAAAGAGATACAAAAAATTGTTCTCACAAGTACAGCCCACACTTTACGAAGGGCTTTATGTATGTTATTTTTTTTTTTTTTGTCAGTGGAAATTGTCATGATACCATTTCTAACCTTAGGTCCCTGGGCGGCCCGGGAAGAGATGTGTAAACACCAGAAATCAAAGGAAATAATAATAATAATAATAATAATAATAATAATAGAGTGATTATACTAAGAAATTTTCAAAGACAGGAAAATTGATACAAATAGACCAGACATTGTCATAAAAGATTTCAAAAAAGTAACCTGCCAGTGAATTAATATGACTTGCTCCCAGGATTCCAAAGTTTTTGAAAAAAAGAATTTCAAAATTGCCAAATTATAAAGTCCTGCAAATCAAAGTAAGAAAAATATGGAAACTTAAAACAATGGCTATCCCTGTTGTGATAGCGGCATTGGGTATGATAAAAAAAAAATGGAACCAAAAATCATGTGAATAAAATTCCTGGACACATCAGCATCTCAGAGCTACAAAAGATAATTTTGTGTGGAACTGCACACATCATCCAAAAAACCCTCTTCATCAAAATGAAATATCCCAAATGTGTATAGATAACTCGTCTACCATACCCTTTTTACTCATAGACCCCGGAGTAAACTTGGTAATTAGGGACTTAAAATTACTCTGTGACAAGATGGTACCATACACAGTAATAACAGAAAGGATGCAGGAGAAGTTCATATGGTTGCAAAGATCAACTAGAAAATGATCCTGGAAAATTGCAGGAGACAATGTAGAAATCTTAGTGCAGCGTGGATTGATTATCGTAAAGCCTTTGATAGTGTGCCACACTCTTGTATACTTAAGACTTTGGAAATGTACAAAGTCTCCCCTGCGGTAGTAAATTTCCTTAAGAACAACATGGGAATGCAGAATACCACATTATATACCTAAATCACACCAGAGGCACTGCGATCTCTGCCGTAATTAATATCCGACGCGAAATCCTTCAAGGAGACTCCCTCTTACCCTTTCTAATCTGTCTGTTTAATAATCCCCCTTACGCATGAGCTAAACAACAGTAGCTATGGTTACAAACTAGACAAAAAAATATTCAATCACCTACTCTACATGGATGATCTCAAACTCTTTGCCAAAAACGACAATGAATTGAAAGGCCTCCTCAATATTGTAAAATACTTCAGTGACGACATAGGTATGGACTTTGGATTAGATAAATGTGCAAAAGTAACATTCAAGAAAGGGAGAGTTTTAAAAATACCCTCAATAGATTTAGACTTTGTCACAAAGATTAGGGAACTGGAACAGGATTAAGCCTATAAGTACCTAGGAATTATCGAAGGAGTGGTATACAACATACCCAAATGTAAGAAAGGAGTACTACAGGCATGTACGTCTGGTACTAAATACCGTGCTGAACTCAAAAAAAGAACATCAGCCATAAACACCTTGGTTGTCCCTGTGGCGCAATACAGCTTTAACATCCTTAATTGGACCATAGCTGACATTAAGCGAATGGATACTACAGTAGACTGGATGATGATATGTATCAAAGAACATGAAAGTAGTAAGTGCCTTTATTCCGTAATAAAAGGAGTTAAAAAGTTCAAGGTGTTTCAAATGGATGCAGAAATACAAGTAAAGCACAATACACCGTCTGATGCTGCAAAATACTTTTAAAAAAAGACAGCGAAGACAAATGCAACCGACCAGATACAGAAACAATGGCAAGATAAACCGCTTCATGGCCAATACTCTGCCCGTACCAAACAAGCTAACGTAGACAAAACCCGTACCCATCAGTGGCTACGTAGTGCAAGGTTGAAAGCTGAAACTGAAGGTTTTATCCTTGCTGCATAGGACCAATGCTTGCTAACTAGGAATTATCAAGCACATATACTAAAATATTGTGTTAGCCAAAAATTCATGTCATGTGAAAATTACCCAGAAACAATCAATCATCTACAGGTTGCACAGTATTGGCACCCACTGAGTATAAAACCCGACATGACAGAGTGGGCCAATATCTGCACTGGAAAATCTGCAACTTCTACGGGAAGGAAACTGAAAGAAACTGGTATGAACACCACCCAGACCCGGTTACGGAGATAGGACCTGTTACAATTCTATGGGACTACACAATACACACTGACAGAACAATCAAGGCCAACAGCCTAGACATTGTTATTAAAGACCACAAACAAAAAAGTGCCTCCTTATTGATATGGCAGTCCCTGCTGACTGCAATGTATCTTTGAAGATCTTAAAAAAGCTGTCAAAATACAAGGACCTTGAAATAGAAATCTCAAAAATGTGGCACCTGGGAACATCAACAATCCCTGTTGTAGTTGGAGCCCTAGGACTAGTTGGAAAAGGTTCCAGTAGATTAATTGAAGAGATTCATGGAAGACTATGCCTTAAAGAAATAAAAAAATTGTTCTTACGAGCACATCACAAACTTTACGAAGGGCTTTATCTTTGCAATATATATATATATATATATATATATATATATATATATATTTTGAATGGAAAATGTCATGATACCATTTCTAACCTTGAGACCCGGAAACAAATGTGTACACACGAGAAAGGAAATAAAGTAAAAATAATAATAATAATAATCAGTCTAATAGTAATAATAATCATAATGTAAATATAAATCAAACATATATATGTACAATGAAACATACGCATGATTCTTATAATAATAATAATAATAATAATAATAATCTATACTTCAATTAAAGCAACATTAATAGACATGTTAAAACAAAAAGAAAAAATAATAAAAAAGGAGTGTCAAAGGAGTAATATTACTGTAAATTGGTAATATCGAAATACAGCATAATTAATAAAAATCAGCTCAACTGGTTTATCGATCCTCTCTCATCAGAGCTAAACCAGTTGATCAATACTCTCTTATAATAGCTAAACTGAATTATCGGTCCGACTTCATCAGAGCTAAGCCGTTTTATCGGTCCTCTCCCATCAAAGTTAATCGGTCCTATCTCAGCAGAGCTAAACTAGTTTATTAGTCATCTCTCATTAGTGCTAAAGCGGTTTATCAGTCCTCACTTATCAGAGCTAAATCGGTTTATCGGTCCACTCTCATCGGATCTCAGCTGGTTTTCGCTCTTCTATCACCAAAGCTAAACTAGTTTATCGGTCCACTCTCATCAGAGCTAAGCCGTTTTATCGGTCTACTCTCATCAGAGCTAATGCCGTTTTATCGGTCCTCCTTCAGCATAGTTAACTGGTTTTCAGTCTTCTTTTATCAGAGAAAAACACTTTTGTTGATCCTTATATTAGTGCTAAAGCGACTTTTTCGGTCCACTTTCATCAGTGTTAAACTGGTTTATCGGTCCTCATCAAAGCTAAACCGGTTTATCAGTATTCTCTCATCAGTGCTAAACCGGTTTATTGGTCTTCTCTCATCAGAGCTTGATCGAGGACGTGAAATGTACACAGCCACTAAAATGAACAGCAAAGATCAAATGTTATATAATAAATATATAACACTTACACTTACTGTAACATTTTAGCCTAACAACCACTCCTTTTGCTTATAGAGAGATGGCTGGTAGGACTTAGTGGTTGAAAAATTTGGGACATTGTTTTTTTTTTTTAACAAATATTCAGCTAATGCCGGAAAAATTGAACAAATGTTCAGCTGTTGCCGAACTATTTGTATTCACGCACTTATGCAAATTATTTGCCTTACGCTGGCGAATATTGATTGCTACATGCTAAATTAATTTTTGCTTCCAAACTTTGATACGATTTTACTACATAGCATTACACTGATATTTGACTTGAACTGGACTGATATGATGGGAAGAGAGAACATCGTCTTTTACTTCTTGTTTAACGTGTCCGTTTTATCGCATTAATTATAATTTTACCCCACCCCCGAAAAAAACCTGTTATTATTTATACTTACGTTAAAAATGAAGAAAAAAAGTGCTATGCAATATCAGTCTTCCTATATGGCAAGGAACACTGAACAAATTTGTCAAAGCGACAACGATATAGCTGTATAGATGGTTACTGAGAATGTCATGGACAAAACATGCGAGTAATGAGGATGTTGTAAATAAAATTAAAAGGGCGCTTATGATTAAAATTAGGACGGGACACTTGAAATTATGAGAAAGGACGGTTTGGAAAACTTAATACAGAGATGATGTATCGAGAAAATGGGAGGTAGAGGGAAATAACCAACAGCGTACCTAATGTGCCTTATCTATCTATCTATCTATCTATCTATCTATCTATCTATCTATCTATCTATCTATCTATCCGTTCGTCCGTCCGTTCTACTGTCTTTCTGTCTGTTCATATGTATGTATGTATGCATTTATCTATCTGCATGTCTGTCCACCTGTCTGTCTATCTCTTTCTCTGTCTGTCTGTCTGTCTGTCTGTCTGTCTCTCTCTCTCTCTCTCTATATATATATATATATATATATATATATATATATATTGTAACCCGGATATAAGAGACCCACATATAAAAGAAACCCGGATATTTTCTCTGGTCCCAAATTAGAGCCTCTCTGTTAATGTAAAACAAAATAGACCAAACCCGGATATAAGAGAAACCTGTTATAAGAGACTTCTTCTCCGGTCCTGACAACTCTCTTATATCCAGGTTACACTGTATATATATATATATATATATATATATATATATATATATATATATATATATATATATATATATGTGTGTAATTTTGTATTTACAGAAAACTTTACTGAAATGCCTCGTTGACAGTTAACATTAAAAGTGCAGCGCAAAATCTCCCTCTAGGCAATTAAAACTGAGGCATAATGACCAAAAATACGCGACTTTAAATGAGAACCGAAAAATTAAAACAATAGCCCAAAAAAATGAAAAAGTCAATGAATAAAATAAACAGTTACATCGAAAGTCAACAATCTTAGCAAACAAACACTTTCAGTTCTTAAGGCATTAACCTCTCCTACAAAAACGCTCAGCATTTAACGATAAAAAGACCACCACAAACAGTAAGAACAACAATTAAAAGAAAGAAGCCAGCCTCCCATCCTTTTGAATTAAAAAAAAAAGAAAAGAAAAGATAAAAATGAACGAAAATAAGAAAATGATTCGGAAATGATAAGTTTCCTGCGTGGAGAAAACAACTACGAATGAAGACAATTTTTGGTAAACGTTTTTGTGATCGCATTAGAAGATGGACGATAGTTGAAATCTTGAATTCAAAATTGCTTAAAGTCACATGCGTCTGTTAAAGATTGAAGGAAACCACCAAACAGCGCTGAAACATGACTTGCCCAAGGACATTGCCGCAAAGCAGAAGCCATAAATTATTAAGCGGTGAATTGAACCCAGTTTATACGGAGTGTTCTTATTTTCATTTTTAAAAGGCACACACACACACACACACACACACACACACACACACACACACACACACACACAGAAGAAGAAGAAGAAGAAGAAGCAGTTCAAGTTTGCAAAGAAATTTCAAAATGGTAAAAAGATAAATCGCAGTAGTAGTAGTAGTAGTAGTAGAAGAAGAAGAAGAAGAAGAAGAAGAAGAAGAAGAAGTAGAAGAACAAGAAGAAGAAGAGCAAGAAGAAGAAGAAGAACAAGAAAAAAGACATTGGAAGAGGGTAACAGATATAGTAGACAAATAAGAGGAATGAGAGAGAGAAAACGAAGAGGAGGAGGAGAAAAGGGGAATTGATTTTAATATTAGAATAGGGAGAGAAAACTGTTATAAACAGAAAAAGCAAGAGAGTGAGATAGAGTGAGAGAGATAGAAGTAGTAAGGGAAAGGATATTAAGAGAAAGAAAAAAATTAAAAAGGAAGAGGAAAGGGGTAAAAGCGGTAGGAAAATATTTTATTTTATTTTATTTTATTTTATTTATCCAAACAGACAAATTATGGGCTTTCAAAAAGAGGATGTGGGAAACATTAGAAGTGTCGGGCATGTACAGACTTCCGGAGGCGTTGTCCCCGCTCCGATGTCTGTGACGGCAATCAGTGCCAAGCGCGAAGCCGGAAAGCTTTTAGCGTTTATGTTCGTCTGAAAGAGCTGTTTGAGTTGTTGGTTAAAAAAACAAAAACAAACAAAAAAGAAAAAAAGAAAAGAAAACAAACAAACAAAAAACAACAAAAAACGAATGAATACAAGCTCCTTAACTTAACGTACAATGGATTTTATCTCATTTTTGTCATAGCTCGGTGGTTTTCTATTTAACAAAGTACTATAAATACATCATGCATCAGCTGTATCGGTCATCATCATCATCATCATCATCATCATCATCATCATTTCCAACAACATTAATAATAATAATAATAAATATATAAAAAAAGCACTCACAAGAACATTACGAAGATCTTTATCTATATAAAATTTGTGTGTTTTTTTTGTTTTTTTTTTACAAAAAAATGAACAGTGGAAGATGTCATGTAACCATTTCTGATCTTAGGTAGGTCTCTGGTTGCGACCCGGAAGTAAATGTGTATAAAACAGAAACCCAAGAAAATAATAATAATAATAATAATAATAATAATTGTCTAATACAAGGACCTGGAAATCAAGATTAACAGGATGTGGGGGGAATGAAGACTAAGACTGTACCAATAGTAATCGCAGCTCTGGGCCTCGTAAGAAAAGGAATGGACTATTTTACTAACATTGTCCCAGGTAACATTAACGTACAAGTTGCCCAGAAGATCGCACTACTAGGAACATCCCATATACGAAGGAAAGTGCTAGCAGTTAAATGACAATTCTCCTATAGGGCCTAAGGACCATACTTTGGACCCGACTCTACAGGATACAAAGCTGGAAATATAACATACACAAACTACTACTACTAATAATAATGATAATAAAAAGAAATAGAATCATTATTCTCACAAGTAGAGCTGACATCTTACGAAGGACTTTATCTATAGTGAATGTGCGTAATATTTGTTTTTTTATTTTTTACATAATGTTATGGTGCCATTTCTGACCTTAGATCCCTTGTTGTGAGCCAGAAGGATATGTGCGTACAACAGAAATCAAACGGAATAATAATAATAATAATAATAATAATAATAATAATAATAATAATAAAAATCTGCAACTTCTACTGGAAGGAAACTGAAAGAAACTGGTATGATCACCACCCAGACCCAGTTACGGAGATAGGACCTGTTACAATTCTATAGGATTACACAATACACACTGACAGAACAATCAAGGCCAACTGGCCAGATATTGTTATTAAAGACCACAAACAAAAACGGTGCCTCCTTATTGATATGGCAGTCCCTGCTGACTGCAATGTATCTTTGAAGATCTTCAAAAAGCTGTCAAAATACAAGGACCTTGAAATAGAAATCTCGAAAATGTGGCATATGGGAACATCAACAATCCCTGTTGTAGTTGGAGCCCTAGGACTCGTTGGAAAAGATTGTAGTAGACTAATTGAAGGGATTCCTGGAAGTCCATGCCTCAAGGAGATACAAAAAATTGTTCTGACAAGTACAGCCCACACCTTACAAAGGGCTTTATCTATGTAATTTTTTTTTTTTTTTTTTTTGTCAGTGGAAAGTGTCATGACGCCATTTCTAACCTTAGGTCCCTGGGCGGGACCCGGAAAGAAATGTGTAAACGCCAGAAATCAAAGAAAATAAAAATAATAAAAATAATAATAATAATAATAATAATAATAATAATAATAAACTACTACTAGAAAATCATAGACAGTACTGCGGGACATCTGAAACTTGAAACGGGATGAATCCCTTGTCCTTGCACCCTAGAAGAAAAGCGGCATGAAGAAGAAATTCTATTTCGGCGAAAATAGACAAAAATCAGAAGAGAAAAAAAAAGAGCAAATGTTTCTTTTGTGGGGGAGAACGTCGTGATAAACTACATCGCAAGTGGATGTAGCATGTTCGTTTTAAGGAAATTGCAAAAATAAACACATGGTTAGAACTGTAATAATACACTAGGAAAAGTGCAAACTATTTTAGTTAGGCCTCGTTAGAAAATGGTACATGCACAAACCATAGAGATATTTAGAAAATAAAAGTAGTAAGTAATATACTCTGGGATTTTGGGATTTAGACGGAACAACTAATCCAAGCAAAGATATACTACGACTACATCGACAACAACAACAGTAATAATAGTAATAATCCTCACTTCCTAGCTTTTACGATGTTCAAAAATGATTACGCAACCTTGTGGAAGGGGGGGGTAATTTATTTTCCCATCTGTCCCTTTCCTACTAACACAAAGAATCTGTTTAAGATAATGAAACTAAGAAAATCCTCTGGGATATTGATATTCGAACAAATCGTTCGATACAGGTTAAAAGCCCAGAGAACACATGGCAAATATCGGATTTCATTATATTGGTAGCGCACAGAATAGAGATCCGAAAGGAAGGAACAAATAAATAATTATTTCGACCTTGCTGGAGAGCTGAGGAAGGTTTCTCTTTTTTTTTTTTTTTATGTCTTCACCCGATACATGGCTCAAGAATCAGTCAAAGTAGAAGTTAAACTGAACGAGGTATAGTCGTAAGAGTATGAAGAAGAAAGTTCATATTATGAGGATATGTATGATAGATAACGGTTGACTCTAGATACGAAGAAATTACGATTGTAGTAAACAGGGAAGCATCCTCTCGGGAGTCTGTTCCACAACGTATTAGAGTTGCTTACTGAAATTGTTGATTTTAGCAACATTTTTAGTCATCTTTTATCAGAATGTAATTATCTTTATTAAAAAATCTTACCAAATTTCAATTAAATTTATCTGAGGGCTATTAGCTGATTTAAAGTTTAATTAATCTGATTTGAAACAAATATTACTTACATTAATTTAAAATATAGCAGAAACGTATTTTTAACAGAGAGCCGTGGTAGCTGTTTATTTAACGTGTTGACATGTTGACAGCTTGAATGAATGATGGATTTTTTTCCTACGGTGGATATATTTGTAAAAAAAATAATTGAGGAATATAACGTGAGTGCATTTTGACATTATTTTAAATGCTCGGTAATTTTCGAAATTTAAGAACATATTCTCAGTTATCTAATGTTTTATTGAAATTTTAGATATTTACTAGTTATCGCTTTTATCTTCTGATAATGTAGTATATGAAAACCCGCAAAAATCGGCAAGTTCATAAACATATAAAAAATCAAAATTCTTTTTAAAATATTGGTAATCACTAAATTACAATAAGCTCTTCGATTTATGATTAGTAAATACAGTTTTTACTTAATATCAATATTCCTTAACCGTTAAAATTAATACAGGATTTTAAAAGATTTGAAACATTATAAATTATTTTAATAAAAAAAAAAATGAAAACAATTCTTGTAAAATTAATTATTAATCCGAAACAT